TCACATTGCTCACATCCAAAATATGTAGGCCAGCCTGTTTGACCATGTTTTTGGGAAGTCAAAGATAAATGTTTCTTTTCTTAAATATACTTATTTTAGAGAGTTAAGGTATTTTGATGTGCTTTCGAATAGTAGTAATAGTTGAAAAAAGTACATTTTCCGATAAGCATGACCAAAGTGCTTCTAAGCAAGAATTTATCCCTAGAATTTACTTTGTCAGTACATTTGTATTTTAGATAAAGTATATTTTTTTCAATTAAATGACCGTTATATCTATCTCTACATCAATTACTATTACACAATTTATTTTTATTCAATATTCCATATATTTTTTTATTGATAGGCGCAGAACACACGTGCAACGCACGTACACTAAAACTAATAATTCATATAAATACATATTAGTTGAGCACCCAATCTAAGTAGTAATTTCAAAATTAAAAATAGTTAAGCACCCATAATTTAAAAATTCTGAATCCGCCCCTTACATTATTCACCGGCGGATCTACATTGTCTACTATGGGTGCTTAACTATGGGTGCTTAAGCACCCATTGCTTTGGGACACAACACTAATACTTTATATAGAAAAACTAATAATTCATATAAATACATATTAATTGAGCACCCAGTCTAAGTAGTAATTTCCAAATTAAAAATAGTTAAGCATCCATAATTTAAAAATTTTGGATCCGCCACTTACATTATTATTTCGTCGTAATTTTTTTTCAAGTGATAGATCAACATAACTTGGTTATGGTATGCATATATATGTTCTGGTTCATTTTGCTTAGAGCCAATTTGAAAACAGTAGTGGAGTCAGGATTTTCACTAAGAGCAAGAGGTGTCAAAATTTAAGAAAGAAATACACGAAGAAATTAAGGATACATAATATATATATATATATATATATATATATATATATATATATATATATATATTACTTTTCTCGACAAAGGGGAGTCAACTGACACCCTTGGAGCTATGTAGCTCCGCTACTATTTAAGAAACTACCTTGTAATTATATATGAATTTAATCAAGTGTAATTACATAATTTGACTTGTTTGTTTGGCAAAATAATTACTTGGTTAAATCGGTAAAAATTTTACGGGTCGCCCTATTTGGTCGCCCCCATTTAACCTATACCCATTTTTTTAAAAACTTAACTTGTACCCACTTTTTAAACAACTTCAGCCCCCTTTCTCCTCCCCATTCTCCTCCTTCGTTTTCTTCTTCTTCTTCTTCTTTCTTCTGCTGTTGTTGGTGCTTCTATGAAACTTCAGTTCATGGGATGATTGCCATAAGTATGTTTATCAGATTATTTAAAAATAAATTATAAATAATTATGTAAGTTAGTAGACAATAATTTGTGAATATTTCCACGTACGGAAAGTTTAAGGTCACAATTGATGATTCTTTTCATGATAATTCTGTTCTTTTCACGTTAATTTGTTTCCAAAATTTTTTGATTTAGATAATGTTGGCAATCTGATTATTTTATAGTAGTTTGATTATAACAAAACTAATGAATCCAGGACAAAAAAACTTCAGCTTATTTAGTGCAGAAGTTTTTTCAAATGAACTAAATAATTTCGGCATCTTCTGCTAAAGTTTTTGAACAAGCTTTATGACAAAACTAATGAATCCAGAACAAAAAAACTTCAGCTTATTTAGTGCTGAAGTTTTTACAAATGAACTAAATAACTTCAGCATCTTCTGCTGAAGTTTTTGAAAAAAGCTTATCCGTGACAAAAAAACTTCAGCTTATTTAGTGCTGAAGTTTTTATAAATGAACTAAATAACTTCAGCATCTCCTGCTGAAGTTTTTGAAAAAGCTTAATGACAAAACTAATGAATCCAGAACAAAAAAAAATTCAGCTTATTTAGTGCAATTACAAAAAAAATTCAGCAAATAGAGAACAAAACTTCAGCTACTATGCTTAAGTTCAGCAATTACAAACAAAAACTTCAGCACACTTGGTTCAACACACTTGCTACTTCAGGCCCGTCTACTAGAATGCTGAAGTTTTGCGTGATTGCCTTTGCTACTTCAGCCTCGTATGCTGAAGCTACGCGAAAAAGTGGGTACACTTGCAATTTTTTTTTTTTGCAAAGCGGGCACAAGTTAAAACGTGACCCAAAAAGTGGGTATAGATGCAAATCCCCCGTTAAACCGTACTTGCCCAGAGACACAAGTATGCCTAATCTAGTACTGGGGGAAGTGCACGGTTGGCCACTGATAACACATGTATTTACTTTTAAGCCACCGTTTAAAATATCTTTAGCCTTTAGCCACTGCTTTAATAAACTTTAACTGCCCGGACGAAAATACCCTTCTGCTCATGTCCTTAACTTTTGTACTTAACTTCAGGACTTCAGGACTACATGTCCTTAACTTTTGAACTTGGAACTCTAAGTTCAGGACTTCAGGACTACATGTCCTTAACTTTTGAACTTGTAACTCTAAGTTCAGGACTTCAGGACTACATGTCCTTAACTTTTGAACTTGGAACTCTAAGTTCAGGACTTCAAGGCTATATGTCCTTAACTTTTGAACTTGGAACTCTAAATTCAGGACTTCAAGGCTACGTGTCCTTAACATTTGAACTTGGAACTCAAACATAAGGACCAAGCGTCCTTAACTTTTGAACTTGTAAGTCAAAGTTAAGGACCTATTGTCCTTAACTTTTGAACTTCTTAGCCTAAGTTCAGGAAATACTCAGTTACTACAGAAAACTGCAGGTAGCATGGGTGGAAGAAGGAAAAACAACGTGTATAGATAATTTAATGAACCCTCGGCAAAGGAAATTCAAACCCATAAGAGGAAAAATATCCATTATTTAGTATCCTTTAGATCAGTGAATCAGCCATATAACTCAATGAACAAGGTGAAAACTTGTAACTGGTAGATCAGAGACTTCTACTTATTGCTTGTATCGCCGCCGCCAAGTCTAGCTCCGCCTACCCAGTCTTTTCAATCCACTGTAATTTCATTTGGGAAGGAAAGGGTAATTCAGTCTTTTCATATTAATTTTAATAGACTAGTGGCTACTTTTGCTCAGCATTAAAAATGGTGGATAAAAAGTAAATACCACTTTAAAAAGTGGCTACCCCACGCAATTTTTACTCTAGTACTCCCTCCGGTCCACAATAAGTGACCAATTTGCTTTTTTATTTTGGTCCAAAATAAGTGTCCATTTACATAATCAAGAAAAAATTCAATTTGTTTTTACAAAATTACCCTTATGTACATATCCCGAAAAAGTTTTCTTACTCCTCACATTAAATATTTAAATAAGGGTAGTTTAGTCATACTAGGTATTTTTGTAAGAATTTAGTATTTTCTTAATGGGCGTGCCAAAAGTAAATTGGACACTATAGACCGGAGGGAGTAAATATATATCTTCGTTGAGTACCGAGCAAGTGACGTCGGTTGAACATAGAGTGATTAGCTGATGTAGAAAGGAGAAAGCTGAGCGAGCAAGAAATTGCTCATTTTCTAGAATTTATAACCTAATTAGAGTACAAAAGTTTACAAGCTAACTGAACTGGTACAAAACCTAAAAAAATTAGCCAACATAGTGTAAAAGTTGTCGTTAATAACATTCACCAAATATTTAATTTATAAAATAAAATGTCAAGAACATGTATAATCGTAATCCATTACAACGTTATAATAAGACGTTTCATATAGCAACCGGGGGCGGCCCTATGTTAGGGGTAGGGGATTTTTTTATTTTACTTTTTTAGGGGTAGGGGATTGATTCACTGGAATCCGTTATATAACTTTGATATATAGGGACATACATCAAGGATCTCTTAAATATAGTAATGGTACCCCCAAAATCACATAAGGCTGCATGGTAGATTTTGTTGAGTGTGCTGCTGAATTCCTACTTGCACTTGTCAACTTGGGATTACAACCCAACTCTTGCATTTTAGGTTTTACTTTTACTTTTCATAGTGAACCACATTTACTTTACTGATTTCAAAAAAAAATCAATTATAATTTAATACTTGTACATAGTAATCAACTAAATTATTATTGTTCTTTTTTAAGTCCCTCCCTCAAAATAGAAAGCTCTAAACCGTAGCTCCTCTTTCTACAAATAGAATATTAAAAAATCTCCCTTTCTTTAACAATCACTTCGAAAAAATAGCAACATCTCTTAATTTAGCAAAGACGACTGAGAGTTTATACTTTGTTGATAAATTATCATAATCGTTAAGGCTTTTGAAGAGTTGCAAGCCGAAATTTATCGCTAATAATTAGCATTATCTAAAGATAGTGTACACCCGCCGCCATCGAACTCAAATTCTGAGTCTAACAACAACATACTACTTAGATAAGGTTCCACATGTATTCTTACTTGTGACAATTATAAAGACTTACCTGATTGGATTTGAGTGCGACCGGGTGGGTGTATTCAACGGGTGGGTGTATTCAAACAAATCCTATATATCAGCTGATAGCTTAGGCTCCACAACAATAATGTCATTACATTGTAAAAAACTTGTCTATCATTATGAGGAATAATTTTTAATTTGAAAAAAAGAAAGAAAAAAAAAGAACAAAAAGAAGAAAAAGAAGAAACCCTGTCGAGTTCTGGTAGTTGAGTTCTGATTTGGGCATCTCCCAGATGGCTGTGTTACTATAATTACACCAACATAGCATTCTTAATCCTCGAAATATAATTACACCACTGCTTATGTTTTGAGTGATGGAACAGACCAGTGATTGGCAACTATTTTGGACTCTCAGCATAGTGCTTTCGAGACCTTCCTTTCAACTAAATAGCTTGCATTTGCCTTTAATACAATCAAAAGATCTATTCATTGATTGGTACTGGATGGAGAAGAAACAGAAACCTCAGTGTCATAAATTAATACTTACCCACATTTTCATGGATTAACAAAATCGATCATTTACCCCAACCTATAGTTTTTTCCCACTTCACCTTGAACTAACATAAAACTGTGAACGGAGGTGGAGGCCCCATGTAAAGGTATAAAGATCCGTCTCAAATAAAATGCATAAACGTCAATGCAATCACATAAATCCATGTTCTAAACAAGTGCTTCAAATGCATCGAGAACACTCAACACAAGCTGCAAATAACTTGTTCCAAAATCCAAATTATTCTAAACTAATGACGATCTTACATCAAACTAAAGGCAGTATCACCACTCAGACTGTCAGCCTATCAATATGGCAGGTCTTTCATCTGTTAATACCTCCTAGGAAAACGGTCCATAAACCTTCCGGAGGGGCACTCGAATGCTTGGTGTCCTCTTCCCCCGCAGTTGTGACAAATCATCAGGGCCATGCAATCACGGCTCATATGGCCTACCTGCTGACAAGTTCGACAAACCATGTCCCGGTATCCTCCACCACCACTAAACCCACGACCACCAAACCCACGAGATGGATGTCCTCTTCCACCACCTCTCTCTTCAATAACACTGGCCTTGGGGCAATCTCTGGCCATATGACCAGATATATTACACAAATTGCACACAGGATCATTTTGACAATCACGTGCCAGGTGACCAGTCTTTCTACAATTTTTGCATGCCTTCTCATTTGTGCAGTCAGTTGCAAGATGCCCTTGCTTGAAGCAGTTATTGCACAGCTTCAGGTCCCCAGGTGGAAGTGGAGGAGCAGTGCAGTCTCGCGCACGGTGTCCTGCCTTCCCACAGGTGTGGCAAATTCCTTCATTTGGACAATTTCCGGCCGTGTGGCCTGGTTCTCGGCAATTCCAACAAAGAGATTTTGTGGAGCACTCGGAGGCAATATGCCTATTGAAATATTCAAAGCAAACAAGAATAACAAGTTAACAAATACTAGTGGTTTATCCAAACTAATTAACCCAACTTCAACAAACACGCATGGCAAGAAAGATGCACCTAAGAAGTATGCAAAAGAAGGGACAAAAACCCCAAGAAAAGGGAAGGATAAGTATATTCCATCAAGTGACTTTTCAAAGCTAGTACTTTTTTTTTTTTTGACAGGGTAAAGCAGTGAATTATAAACTAGTATTATACTGCATGTAGATACTTCATTCAGGCTTTCATGTTGTGTGTTCATGCCCCTGATATGTAGCTCTTGTTGATTTTTGAAGTAACATTTTAGCACTTGGGTTCAAGTGTTTGAGCAATAAGACTCAAACAAAAAAGTGTTTGAGCAGTAAGACAAAATTTTAAGTAGTACACAGTAAGATTACACGTATAACGACACTTCTAACAATCGTTTGTGTACGCATATAAGCTAAGGTACTAAAATTGATGTATTTTAGGCTGTAAGAGAACTATAATAAGCTCCCCCCCCCCCCCCAAAAAAAAAAAAAGCATGTCAAGATAATTTGAATTTTAAAATTTAACCATCATCAAGCAGAACAAAAAACAACTGAGAAGACTTGGAAATTCAGAATGGTTCCAAAAATATTTTATTTGAATCACGTGGCTAAGAAAATTCAGTCATTTCTCTATTCTTTCGGTTCTGCTAGTATCTGTTTCCTGGATCCAGGTGTCGAGTTCTTAACTATTGTGTAAGAGGGGTTTTTTTTGGGGGGTGGGTTTAAAGATAATAACAAGGCTACGGGAATGACATTGGCAGCTTCTACACTAAATATATAAGCCAACAGTTTAACAAAGAATGTACCTGTAATCAAAGTTAAGAGCAATGCTGAGATTTCCAAAGTTGGGGGAGGAGGGAAGGGAACTAGTAAGTAGTTTATCAGCAACTTTCTAGATGCTTACCCAGGAAGACCGCAATTGTGACATATTGCCACATTAGGGCACTCCCTAGCAAAATGACCAGGTCGTTTGCAGTTCTTACAGAGACCGTCTGGGCTGTAAAGAAAAAATAATTGATTATTGTTGGAAAGATAGAAAAAAGAAGGTAAAGCCCACGCCAACCTTCCTCCAGAAGAGCAAAAGAATGAAAAACTGTAGATCCTAGAAAGAGTTGAAGATTTCTTGACATATCTAGCATGCACATAAAATCATAAACCATAAACAGCACTATTATCAGTCAAGAGAGAGTGGTTGTGAAAACTTCACAACTGAGCATTTCAATCTAATGCAGATGAATATCAGGGTGGTAAATCTGCTTCAAATAGTCTGTTCAGCTTAGTCCATTAGTTAGTCTTAAATTGTGAAACAGCTTTTTATCTTAGAAGTGCAAAAAAGATAGATCTTGAAACCAACTAGTAGGTACAATTCAACCTATCCACACATTCATGTTAAAGCAACTTTAAAAGCAAGATAGCAACATCCTCCATTTCCATGTCTAACAGACAGAACTCCCTTAGTTCCAGTCAACAATTCCTCGGGAATGAGAATAGTTAAGCAACATACAAATGATTGAAAACCAGATAACCTGAAGCCCCGACGTGACTCCCGTCTATATGGTGCATCACGGTGGGAATACCGTTCCGTGCGGATTTTACGATCTCTTGGGCTCCTGCTTCTGCTCCTGCTTCGGCTTCTGCTGTCAGATCTCATTTTTGAAAACTATCACGAGTAAACCACCACTAACAAAACCACCAGCAAAATATCACCACACCACCACCACCAGCTGCCTCCTCCTGTCCACCACAACCACACATCCAAGACCACATCACAAATCCATAAAAAACCTCTACTCCCATGATTTATATACCAAACCCCCAACACCACTAAGGAGACACTACACAATAGCAAGATCACTTAGACATCAAGTTTATATACACTAAAAAGCTGTTGACACAGGAAACTTCGTCTCCAGCCACATCCTACATACTGTGCACATCTCGTGGCAAATAGATACCCACACATTATCATTAACATTCTAGTCACCACAAACGATCTCATAATGACTTCCAACTTCATAAAAATATAGAGATAGCTTCAGTAACCAGCAGAAAAGTGAAATAAGTGTTGGTAAAAGGCAAAGTTTTGCAAGCAACAGCTACTACTTCGAAATATAAACTACTTAAAACAGAGAATACAACATATATGTCAAGTGGTAAGAGATCAGGTTATATTTCTCAGTCCAATGTTACTTTCCCTCTTTTCAAACTGTAATCAACCGAAACAAGTGACATATTGGCTACTCACAGAAAGAACAGAAGCTTAAGTGTAAACTTCCTCGCCATTGTTGTTCACTCTTTTGTTAGGTGGAGACGAATGTACATCACTGTGCGGTAGCTTCTACTAGGAGTAGATGCCCAATGAAGAAACTGCTCAAGAGCAAGGAGTTATGAATATCATTCCAGAGTGTGTGTGCTTCATGTCTGTTGAAGATGTACAATCTCTTTAGTAGGGAAGGACCACAGTTCTTTATTAAAAATTAATTACATTAAGCACAAGGTCCCTTATTTCCTTTTAAATATCATTGACCATGCCCCTGTATCATTTCTGCATTTCTGTCCATACATATAATCCTAACTATTAACATCTTGCCAAGTATGAATCCTCAACCCCCCACCAGTCCCACCAAAGTCCCAAGTAACACAACCCATTGATAAGAGCAAGTATTACAAATTGAGCGAAAATTTGCTAAATAGCATTAAAAAAGCTAGCTACTACAACCACCCCCAATAGCAGCAAGGGACTACCTATGCCCTTTTGTCCCTTGTTATCACCTCAGCTATGCTGCATGTCGCCAGTGTTATCAAAGGCATGCTTAAAGCGCGCTTAAGCCTTGATGCGAGGCTCAAAACATGTTGAGCGTCTCGCTTCGCCTCGCTTAGGGGGCGCTTCAGTGTTGTCATCAAGGCTTTAAGACATACTTTTCCTTGCCAATAAGTGTAATCCTGAAGAGGCAACATTAAACAGTTGATATTTCACTTTATCGTAAATTTTCTTCAATTTCTTTGTCTATATATTTGGTATTTATGGTTATAGATATTAGTCTTGTACTACACATACATATTTGTAATTTCTCTCCATTTGCACCTTTCTTCATTGAAGCCCACGCTTTATTTGTACTTTGAGCTTAAAGCCCTAACAGACCTTAGAGCCTTTTTTGCGCATTTCGCCTTTGATAACACTGAATGGCGCTACAACCCTAGAAGATCACCATTACACCCACCCCTCCCCCTTTATAAAACGACGTACCAAATCCGAAGCCTTAATTGCAGCACAAGTGCTAACTGCTAATTGAGGTTCCTATCTTGGAGTGGAGATGTACTACGTTCACCTACCGAGCTATTCGTGCCACACCATAGCTCTTGGCAACTTCATCTTAACTTGAAACTTGAAAGTTTGAATGGACCCATTGCATCAATTTATACACCAGTCCATTCACTTCCTTTTCTAGTTTTGGCAAGTGTTAAGTTTCTTGTTCTTAGTCTTCACCTTCTTTTGAAAAAAGAAAAGGTAAAACTACTCCCTTACCCCTATTCCATAAGTACTATCTGAATTCCCAAAGGTCAACTTGCCTAATTTCAAAGTATAGTAGTTCACACTTTTGAAAAGAAAAAATTAAAATTTGCCAAAATTACTCTTCATAAAAGAAGGTTACGAAAATTACCCTACAATTTATTACCAACTACAAGATGTTTTAAAGCCCTTATTTAAGTTAATCCATTTGACTCTAGGAAAGCAAAAGGTGAAACTTCTTGGTAAAAAAGAAGTTAAAGAGGAGAGGATACTCCACAATACAAGCCCAGGCCAACTACCAATCTACAAGCAGTAGAAAATCGAAGAAAGAATGGTGAATACACTAGATCACTGATAATTTATATAATCACTTTCACCTAGTAGAAATCCAATAACTTCCTAGTGCAGCCCATTCCCATGTTATCCATCCCTGCATAATTCAATCATAGCAATATAATTCCTCCTCACTACAATATGCAGTATCATAAAACTAAATGAGTAAATGACCTCAATATGCACAATGACATGATTCACTAGTAAGGTGCACTGCTCCAACACATGTTGAATTGAAAATTATAATTTGTCCAAAAGTACACTTCCGATTCAGTGGAGATTTAGTGCTCAAACAAAAACTTGCACTTGGACCAAATCAATTTGTTAGAAATGAAGGAACATAAATTATAATTTCTTCTATTCGTAACTCATTCTCAACCAGTCAACCCAAAACTCTAGTTGAAACCAACATCGCATTCACTTTGTCTATGACTTAACAATAAATTAGCTGAACAAGCAAACTACACAATTATATTGCTTCACAGCCTCACCCCCACAACCCCACCACAAGAAAAAAACAATAAACAAAAGACCAGCTAACTACCATTTATGGATGAAGTCAGCCTTTATATTTATTTGACATAGCACACGCAACCCGCCAACCCATCACCAACAAGTCCTTATTGACCCTTTTCTCCCCAATGACTTGAGCCAATAACCTCAAAGTTGGAGATTGAGGATCCTTTAGATTTGTCTTTTACATATGTATTCAGTATTTTGCTTTCCACCAAAGAGAAGATATAGTGGATTTCAGATTTTGGTGTCATCCTTCAATGACTAATAACTAAAAATGTTCTCATCTTCGTCGAATAGAATTTCAGTTGTAATCTGTATGTAGAAGAGCAACATAGCTTACTTCTACCCACGAACCAGGCAACCTTTCACATCCGGAATATCAGACAAAAAATCCTCCCCAACTTTCCCTTAGGTCACTTCCAGCCACAAACCAGGAAACCCTTTTGCATCCATAATGTCAAACATGAAATTCTCATCAACTTCCATTCCATCAACCAATTTCTACCTAAAATCAAGGTAACCGGAGTACAAGCAATGCATACTCACAGCTTGAGCTAGCGGGCGAATATTCCACCTCGTCTCAGACATTTAGTGATTTCCCACTTCTGCTCTCTCCATTAAGTATTAGTAGATAATAAAACCACACACGACAAAAACCTTAAAAGAGCATAGAACAATAGACGATGGGCAAATAAAATTTGCAAAAATTACAAAGCAATACAATTAATTGCACATATAAGCCGGTGGTTAAGCTACATTTCTAATTGCTACGAAAATCAGATGCTCTTTTTTAATATAAGTGCCAATAAGTCCGAAACCCTAGTTAATGTTTTACTATGCAAATCCAGGTAAAAATTAAGATGATGAAAAGAACCCTAAGAACCAAGGTTCAAATCCCACCAGAGGCAAACAAAACCCAAAGCAGAGAAGACACAGCACAAGTTTGTACATTGAAGAGTACAACGTAACCCTAAAACTATTCCAAGGAATCGGAGACAGGTAATTACTTGCTATTAGATAAAATAAATAGGTGAATAAATAGAGAGAAGAGAGATAAATGTACCTGCAAGCTTACGAAGATGGAGAATCCACAGCGAATGGATATGGAGAAAACTGCGACCCAAGTAACTGCGCGGGGGAATAGGTGCCAAAGGGCAAGGACAGCAAATCCCTTAAATAGCCTTCGAAATGCTACTCTCTTTTTTTTCAATTTCCGACCTCGTGTCCGCTTGCCTGCATTGCGACCCAATTACTAGCTATTTTGAATTGGTGTAATTACTAGGGTAGTAATTATGCAACCTAGTGTAATTACTACGATCTATTTGTTTACCCTAGTGTAATTATAGTGTTGTAACTGTATGGGCCAAAATCCGACCAGGGAAATTAAGTACGAAGAGAAACTATAGCGGGGGGACCGTAATTCGCCATGGGCGGTTCGGCTATGTATGACTCGGGCAAACCTCCGAAGAGTCCGTCATGGACGAGGTCGAGGACAAACAGAACAAGTCATGCTCAAGAGTCGATTGGTCCGAAGTCATGTTCCTGAAGCAACGCTAACGAGCCGAGCAGCCGAGGTCGGAATCGAGCACTTAGATTGGCCAAAAACGGCTAGTTTTAGCAATAGAATATTCTAAGGGAATATTCTATAGGATATTTTCTGCATTTTGTACTTTAAGTAGGTAAGAGATATATCACATATAAATAGGAATAGAGAGAGAAAAAAGGCAGCCAAGATTCCATTTGATAAGTTCTCTCCAGAGAAGTCGACTCCCATATAACTACAAACGTTATCTATAAAGAATATTCAGTTTGTTGTGTTGGTCCAAGCTTTTCCACGCTAGATCTGATAAAGTGTTTGATTAGATTATAGTTATCACAATGCATGCATTAAGACATTGCATTATTAATACCATGGTTGCATATGCATTAGTATGCATAGGACAATAACAAATAGTGTGTATAACTAATGCATAGGTTCAAAAAGTGTATCAAACAAAGTATTATTAATACTGTAAGCACGTAATTTTTACCCGCATAATTTTTAAGTTTAGTTTTAGTATTTTAAATATTTACTTGAGTTATTATAGATTTTAAATCCATTTTTATTACCACTTTATTAGTTTAATTTTATTTGAGCATTTGAGCATTTGCACTTCGCTTGGTAGTTTACGGGCATGAATAGCTCCGTATGATGTATTATGACTTATGTGAATCGTCGATTTTTGGTTTTTAGGTTATTCGGAATTGATTTGGAAGAATGATTCTCAACTAGGAAGCTTTAAATTAGAAGAGTTGACCAAGTTTGACTTTTTAGCATTTGACCTCGGATTGAACTTCTTTGATGGTTCCGTTAGGTACTGATAGTGATTTTGGACTAGGGCGTATGCCTGATTTGCATTTGGATGTTCGGCACAAATTGGCGATAATTGAAAATTTAAAGGTTTGGAAAGTTCATAAGTTTGACCGGGAGTTGACTTTGTGGACATCGGATTCGGATTGTGGTTCCAAAAATTCGAATAACTTCATTATGTCATTTAGGACTTGTGTGCAAAATTTGGGTTCATTCCGGGTTGGTTTGCTATGTTTGGGCACGAGTTATGGGAATTGAAAAGTTTAAAGTTCTTCAAGTTTGAATTAAGGTGCGATTCATCGTTTTGATGTTGTTATGTGTGATTTGAGGCCTAAGGTCCGTATTATATTATTGGGACTTGTTGGGATATTCGGACGTGGTCCCGAGGGGCTCGGGCGTGTTTCAGATTAGTTTCGGATCATTTTCAAAATAACTTTTGAACCAAAGTGCAACAACCCACTAGAATCCCAACAACAAAACACAATTGCAAGATGCAACTATAAATGAAACAAAATGTAAAATAACTCTCCAAAGACGAGAATAAAAGAGTTTTTAGGTCTATATCTTATAAAATAGTGAGTCGTACGGAAGTGCCAAAATGTTGGATCTGACTCTAATAAGTATCAAATGTTTGGGAAGTTGCACAATACATCATATTTTCTTGGAATTACAGTTTAATAGTACTTGTTAAAAGTACCATCTTGTCAGCAATTCAGGCTGTCAATTTTGACTTATTCTAATAAGCATATGACTAAAATCCAAAATTGTTTCTTCTCTCAGTTATTCACATCATCACTTGGTCCTCAGTTGTCACGAGTTTGGCCAATAGCAGTATTGCAGTATGAAACAATTTTTTTTTAAACTATAACTTTTCCAAACATTTTTTGACGTTATTAGCTACACAATTTGTTTATTTATAGTATACAGTTTTTATGAAGTCTCAAAAATGTAAAACTTACGCATAAATTTAAGAAATCGATATTCAGAATTACATATAGAATACAGATGCATTCACTCTGGTCGCTTGAATGCTAACATTCTTTTTAAGACGACTAAGAAAAATAGCATTTGAACTAAAGTACAACAATAACAACCCAATAGAATCTCACTAGTGGGGTATGCGGAGGGTAGAATGTATGCAGACCTTACCCATACCCCAAATGGATAGAGAGACTGTTTCCGGGAGACCATCGACTCAGATACAATAGATCCGTAACAACAACAGAAACCAGAAAAATAGTATCAGCATCGTAAAATACAACAAATAAATGGAAAAGGCCAAAATGTGAAAGACTGGAAAAAAAATGTGAAACACAACAAAAAATGTTGGCAGTCCTAGACAAAAAACTATCAGACTGGATAACAGAGCAATTCTATGACAGGTGATTTTCTACTTGAATATGAAATTCTATGACAAATTTCTGCAAAGAGAAGATTTCAAAATAAAAATTCTCTGTGTCTGAATTCTGAATTCTTTTCCCCCCAAATTTCCTACAAGCCTAATAGCAGCAGACCAAAACAACAAGAATACAAAAATGGGGGAAAAGGCAAGATTTTTAAGATTGAAATTTAAACTATGGACAAATCAACCTCAACTGTAAAGATAAATAAAAGAGCAAAACAGGTAAAATTACTATTATTACTACACAGTATTTACTTTAACTAGCAGCAGTAATTACTTAAAAATTGCAGTTGTACGTAATTTGCACAAAAGTGCATCAATAGTAACCCAAACTAGGAATTAGAGAGAACCATTCAGTCTTTACCACTTGAAGAATTCTCTGCTAAAAGCAAACCATTTGCTAAAATTAACAAAATCACAGAGATAATCTTGCCATACTTCAAATAATACTGTTACATCAAAATTTGAAAGGAAATCATGCCTTTGAACTCCATCCTACACTAACAAAAACATCTGTAGCTCATAATGGCAACAGTATTAAACAAACAAACTATGCATCATGGTAGTGATGCAACTTGTACAGTAACACTTTTCCTTCAGCATTTCCCATAGCCATGAATCCTCCATGAGGACTAAAATCCAAACAGCGCGGATAGTGCACGGCTCGATTTGGAGAAGGCCAGTTTGAAAAAACTGTAAATGATGGAATGTGAATTAGCTTTGAGCTGTTTTTCTTCATGCTAGAACTGATGGCTAATATTTGAGAATCATGATTAAATTTCATAAAATCCACTTTCGTTGTGAGATTCTCAAACGCCTTGATTGGTTTTCTCTTTCCGCCCAAAAACTCTTCTCTGTTATAAATATTTACTATCCCGCTGTCTGAACCAGCAGCAAACAAACTACCATTTGGTGAAGTACAAAGAGCTGTACCATTTATGGACCCTTCATCAACACCTTTATGAATGCAAGTTCTTGTTCTCAAATCCCAATGGTAAATCTGGCCGTCTCCACCAGAGCTCAATAATTGTTGTCCGTCATTGGTGAAAGCCACTGAGCGAACAGTTCCATTCATTTTCAGTGTCCCAATTAGCTCCTTTGTTTTGGAGGAAACTAGCAAAATGTATCCTTCATTACCAAGAAAAGCAATTGTATCTGAATCAGGAGAAACCTCAAAACTTTCCAGGCTCTTTTCTTCCCTGCCGACTAGAGGACCTATTTTATCTACACTTGCTTTGACCAAGTCTAAGACATGAAAGAACTTTCTTCTTCCTGATACAATAACTTGAGACCCATTGGGTAGGAAAGACGCCTTTTTAATTGGAAAATCCTCAAGAAAGATGCTCTGTATCTTTGTATTTCGTTTCCCGTCAATCTGAAAAAATCTGAGTTTTTTATCCAACCCACCAACAAGGAGCAACTGAGAATTCCTGTGGAACTGAACAGAATTTATTGGTGCATTTGAAGGATCAGGTGCATTTGCATCAACCAGTCTCGAATATTCAAGAAGCCCAGGTAACAACTTTGTGCGACTTTTGACAACAAGATCTTCGTTTGATTGAAGAATATCACCGACCAACTTGATATTCTTTGAACAGTAGCCCTCAGTATGTTTACTTTCCTCGTCAGAATCTTCATCATCAGAACTGTAGCTTCTGCCTTGAGAATCAATTTGGGCCCATTCAGTGCCTGGATTAAGTTTAGCGTGTTGAGCCCTTAGTCTCGCCACGTACGTGGAACCAGATATGACATCCTCACCCTCTTCTTTCCTCAGCTTCCTCAATCTGTTCACACTTGCTATTTTGATACTAGTCTTCTCTTCTTCGTCGTCTACCCACACCGGTTTCCGCTCCTCCTTTCCCACAATGTGGATACCTTGTGGCACCAGCTGTGCATCCCCCTCATAAACAGACAACGCACTATCCGCAAACCGGTCCACAAAGAACATAGCAGAATCGTTTTCGCCATCATTTCTCTTTTCTTCTTCATCGTCCTTCCCGAACCCAACAGGGTTGTACAAGGAGCCAAACAATAAGTTCTCAAGCTTCTTCATTTCCTTCTCCTGCTCGACTTCTAATTCATCATTCTCTTCATTTTGCTCTTTCTTTCTCTTCCTATTACTTTCTTTCTCACTTACTTCCTTCTTAGCCTTCCTTTTAGACTTTTCAACCCCGATGGTATGAGAAGCATTCTGCGATATCAAGCTCGCCATTTCCCAAGATTGATATCACTGCATATATAGATAGACTCCAAATTATTACCGTCAATTTTTAAAAATCATTAAACATCACAACAGTCCAAACCCCACTTGTGGGATTTCACTGAGTTGTTGTATTAAATATCACAAAAGCAATGCATTCGAACCCACTATAATAAATTTAACTTAAATGCATTGAAAGTGCAATGAATTTTTACACCATATTGTAAAAATTCTTTATGCAATTAACATATAAATCAAATTAGTTGCAATTACATTTGAAGTGACCTGATTGTGTATACATTTTTTAAAGCATCAGAACTTAAACTTAAATAAATAAAATGTATATATATGTTCATTGTAATATTGGAGCCACTTCACAAATATGTAGTGTGCGCTAGTGGAGCTCGTCACCCACTACTTGTTCAGATTTTCAGTCAATTACTTAAATAGTCCTTACTTATGGAGTTGTTATTACATGGCAAAGCAAATAAGGCCGATGATTAAGGGATAAAAATCACAAAGAATAACAAGAAAAACATAAGCAAACACGGTACTTTTTCAATTAAGATGCACTATAATCTAATATAACCAAAACCTCAGAAATAGAAGCACCACAATTTTTTTTGTAACTAACCTAAAATATGTTCGTACAATTTAAAAAATAAAGGTAGAAACTTACATAGGCGGCGAGGAGCAAATGTGAATGTACAAGGAGAGGGTTTTGCCTTATTTTTTTAAAAAAAAAAAAAAAAAGAACTGTTCGAATTAGGGCTTATGTTTGTTCTTTTACAGGGAATTTGGGCTCGGGTAAAGTCAAGGTTTCCGGTTCAAGTTTTTATTTCCTTTTTAATTTTAAACAAGTGCATTAGGTCGATGGGACTTTTTAGTGTCATAGTCCTTCAACACTTTTAACGGTCGTTTGGGAGGGTACATGAGAATAATGATAAATAGGATGTGTTAGTAATGTTGATATTAGAAATACTTGGATTAGTTATGCTGGCATTAGATGCTGACATACTTCTTATTCATTGTTTGGTTTGATGTATTAAAGCATGGCACAATTTCTAAAAGAATTATTTGTTAATAAAAATACCCTCATAACCAGTCCATCACTTTATCTTTTTAAAAGAAACACATGTTGAAGAATGTTTTTATATGAAAAGGTTTTAAAAAAGACTATTTGATTTGTCTACCTATATTGTAGTGTAGAACTTGATATTTATTTATAAAAAAGAAAATATGCTAAGTATTTATTTATCAACTAGGGATATAATTTTATTTCACACTTTTTTGGATTATTAGGAAAATAATTTCGAATTCAAAACATAAAAGAAAAATGAGTTGATTACAAGTGCCTTCCAGTACATAATAGTAGAGTACAGATTTATAAATTTACAATGAAGAAATTGTCGGAGTTTAGATATCAATAGCGAGAGCAATTTCAGTATCAAACTTAACATCAAACTTGCATTAATATAATAGAACATTCTAATCAAGCAAACATTTTGAAGGTCAATTTTGTCTTTAAGGGGTCGTTTGGTAGAATGCATAAGATAAAATAATGCATGCATTAGCTTTGTGTATTAATAATACCTTGTTTGATACACTTTTTGAACTTATGCATTAGTTATGCAAGCATTAGTTATACACCCTATTTGGTATTACCTATGCATAACTAATGCATAAGAAACCATGGTATTAACAATGCAAAGGATTTTAATGCATGCATTGTTAATACCATGGTTGTTATACACCCTATTTGGTATTATCATATGCATAACTTGTCACACCTCCTTTTTCCCAAGGGGATAGGGAGTTTTTCCAATTAAAGTGACATTATTCGAAATGGGATTATTTATTTAGTTCAGAGTCGCCACTTGGAATATTTATCGTGTCCCAAGTCATCGGTTTATTTTAAATCCCAAATCGAGAAAATTTGACTCTATTTTTAGTCTGCGTATACAGAAGACAGGGTAAGGAATTCTGTTAACCCGAGAGAAGGTGCAAGGCACTCCCGAGTTCCGTGGTTTTAGCATGGTCGCTCAACTATTAATAATTGGCCTAATTATCCGATTATTACATGTTTTAAAACCTTTTGTGCATTATCGCTTTTATACCGCTTTTAATTATTTTAAACAATTATGGAGTTTATTTAAACAAGTAGCGGTATTTTAAACAATTATGGAGTTTATTTAAACAAGTAGCGGTGTCGCGCACTTGTTATTTTTGTACACATCGAAAATAACGCCACATGAAACGCACTCGTGCTTTACAACATGTTAATTTTATTATTGTTTGAAGTAATGGAAGTAATGGTCGGGTCACATGAAATGCGCACTCGAATTGGGGATTATGTATCACGACTATGCCACAGGAACCGCACCCATAGTCGTGATGATTTAATTACGCGCCTAAAGCAAACTACGGTGTTTGAAATTATTCATTCTCTATGTTTGAGACTGACTGTAAAGGTCATGAGTTATGGAAAGAGTTGTTGAAAAGTATGAGGTATTAATTGATTCTAATTATCTGGGCCTTTGCCGCATTGGAGTTCATTTTGGAAGTGAGATTTAACACAATTAACACTTGATTCATACGTTCCACTACTAAAATTGTGTTCTTGTAACACTTCATACGTTCCACTACTAAAATTGTGTTCTTGTAACACCAAAAACTACTAAATCAATTAAAACAACATAGTTTCAAGTTTAACATCACATAATGAATCAATAACAATTGAGCAGGAGGAGTCTATCACTTTAAAGTACATTGGTGAACCAACAAAATACAACACAAGAGGTACACATTGTTCTTTTCCTAATCGTGTGGCAGCAGAATCACACATCCACCTCATTGAGCTGATTTCTTCATCATACATATATTTAATCCACTAGTATTCAATTTCATAGATCCAAATGGATATGAAGTCATTAACTAGTGAGCAAAGACTGGCTAACACAATAATCAGTAAGTGATGTTTCATAACAGAAATTAACTCATATGTTACTGAGTATTTGACTCATTTTAAACGAACAAATAACAACACATATGGTCAAATTAGAACCACTCAGTAAGCAAATAAATAGGCTGGAATTATGACACGGTATCAAAACAGCTGATCTTCATTCATCAATTCAATTAGATGGCTTAAAATGTGAAACATACCTAGAGATGAATTCACCAACAAGGAATAACCAAATAAAGCTTAGAAGCAGAAGATGAAGCTCAGTTAACAATCCCCAGCAACAATCGGCAGAGAAAATCAGCAAGCTCCAAAAAAAAAAAATACTTCCAACAGCCCAAAAGACCCTTTAACTTTCCAGAAATACCAAATGTAGGAGCAAGGCTTCGAAACAGCTTTCTTTTCCAGATAACCTTGTTTTAATGAAGGAGGTCTGTGATGGAGCGGCTAGGGTGTGGTTTGTTTTTATTTTGAGAAGGGGAGTCTGTTTGGAGATGATGGAGGAATAAGGGGCGGCTGTTTGGTTTTTTTTCCAGAAAATGGCGGATTTTTTTTTTTTAGGGTTAAGGGGGAAAAGGGACTTTTAATGAGGGGGGAAGGGAGAATGGGCCAGGCGGGTCGGGGGTAAATTGGGCGGATATGGGAATTCGTTTGGGCTCTTTGTGACTGGCCCAATCCGATTTACCTAGCTATACTATAATAGAAACCTATTTACCACATTTATTTAGGTTCCTTATTAATTACTTTGTATATCTATATTTACTAGTTATATACAAAATCATAAAAAGATAAAGAAACTCAAGATCCCTTAAATCTAGCCTATCAGTTACATGAGACCCAACCCCCATTTCCAATAATTCCCCATATTTAAGATTATATCCTTTTCCAAAGAATTACAAAAACATCTTCTCTCTTTCTTAACATTTATCCAAAATTATTCTTACTCACACTAAGAAATTTCGTTTAACCACTTTTATCCAAAATCTTGCTTACCCAAAATCTTGCTTACCCATTGTTATCCCCCCAAAAATTGCAGATTTTTTTGCTCTTCCAAAGCTTTTGAAATTCAATTTCTCTCTTTCTTACTAATCACCTAAAATCTCTATTTTCTTTATTGATATAATGCAGATTAAATTTGAAATATTGCTCTAGAATCAAGTTGTGGGTAAGTTTTGAATCTTTTTTTCTTTCTTTCTAAAATCTTTATTGTATGTGACTTGTATATGATATATCAATACCAAAATAATACTCGATACAATACTAATACAATTATAATATGATTATATTAAATTTTTAGTGTAGAATTGTAATTGAAACTTGAAGAAGATGAAGATCATAATTGTGTCATAATTTTTCAGAAATGTATCGTGATTGTATTATAATTGTATATGTATCATAATTGTTGCACGAATTGTATTACAAATGTATGATAATTGTATATTCATTGTATATTGTTACGGGCAGTTGTGCGTTCGTGACGAATTTCACAGTTTATATCACAAGTATGCTAATTGTATATTATTTTATTAGTATTGTATTAGACATTATTTTGGGTATTAATATACCAGATACAAGTTAGAAATAATTGTGGTACAAGTATGATACATTTATGTTTTAAGCATTGATGTATCTGATACAATTCAAATACAATTATGATACAATTATCCTACAATTATCATAAAATTTCAGAATATTTTTTAATAATATAAAGTTATCGGTAATGGTGGGAAGAGAGATGATGTAGATTTTGGGCGTAGATTAAGGGATTTTGATGTAAAAAAAAAAAAGAGAGAGAAGAGGAGGGGGAAAAAAAGGAAATGATATAATTGAATCTCTTAATTGAAGGCACTAATAATGGAGTGATAGTCTTTTAAGAAGCAATATATACAATTTGTAAGAAAAACCTAGATACTTATTAAAAACTTCAAAACATAGAGAACATAGGTAAATAAATTTCTAATATAGTATAGCTAGATAAAAATCCCTAAAAACTTTCCTCCTTTTCTTTTGTTTGTTTTCTTTTCCTTTGATTTTCTTTGATTTTAATTTCTAAATTAAGTCCTAAATCAAATTTAATTTGTGGAATTAAACCTAATTATCTATTTTTAATATTTAAATAATTAATCAACTTAAAACTAATGAAATGAAATTTCTAATTTAAGGCTAAAAGCTAACAAATGTAAAATGACTAATATTTTTGTGATTTTTTGTTTAATAATGTGATTAACTCGTCTAATTAATTCCTAAATGCGATTAAGATCTAAAATGCTTATGTATTGCAACATTGAACCTTTTTTGGTGTTTTTCTATTATTTTAAGCTATTAAATATGCAACTAAATGCAAAACCAAATAAAGAAAAACTTCTAATATTCATAAAACAATAAAAATTATTTTGGACTATATCTAGGAGTAATTTCCATGTGGGGCAGAAATTACGCGCTCACATAACTAATGCATAAGAAACCATGGTATTAACAATGTAATGAGTTTTAATGCATGTATTATTAATACCATGGTTGTTAATACAATGGGGTCCTTTAATGCATGCAATGGGTTTTAATGCATGCATTGTTAACACCCTATTTTTAATGCATGCATTGCTCCGTTAGATTAGATTATAGTTATCACAATGCATGCATTAAAACCCATTGCATTGTTAATACCGTGGTTGCTTATGCATTAGTTATGTATAGGACAATAACAAATAGGGTGTATAACTAATCCTTGCATAACTAATGCATAGATTCAAAAAGTGTATCAAACAAAGTATTATTAATACTGTAAGCGCGTAATTTTTGACCCGCATAATGTTTAAGTTACTTTTAGTATTTTAAATATTTACTTGAGTTATTATAGATTTTAAATCCATTTTTATTACCACTTTATTAGTTTAATTTTATTTGAGCATTTGCACTTCGCTCGGTGGTTTACGGGCATGAGTAGCTCCGTATGATGTATTATGACTTGTGTGAATCGTCGATTTTAGTTTTCAGGTTATTCAGAATTGATTTGGAAGAATGATTCTCAACTAGGAAGCTTTAAATTGGATGTTTCTAGAAGGTTTCGGCACAAATTGGCGATAATTGGAAATTTAAAGGCTTGGAAAGTTCATAAGTTTGACCGGGAGTTGACTTTGTAGATATTGGATTCGAATTGTGGTTCCGAAAATTTGAGTAACTTCATCATGTCATTTAGGACTTGTGTGCAAAATTTGGGTTCATTCCGGGTTGATTTGCTATGTTTCGGCACGAGTTATAGGAATTGAAAAGTTTAAAGTTCTTCAAGTTTCAATTGAGGTGCGATTCATCATTTTGATGTTGTTATGTGTAATTTGAGGCCTAAGGTCCGTATTATATTATGGGACTTGCTGGGATATTCGGACGTGATCCCGAGGGGTTCGGGCGTGTTTCAAATTGGTTTCGGACCATTTTCCAAATAACATTTGAACCAAAGCGCAACAACCCAGTAGAATCCCAATAACAAAATACAATTGCAAGATGCAACTATAAATGAAACAAAATGTAAAATAACTCTCCAAAGACGACAATAAAAGAGTTTTTAGGTCTAATAGTGAGTAGTACGGAAGTGCCAAAATGTTGGATCAAACTCTAATAGTATCAAATGTTTGGGAAGTTGCACAATACATCATATTTTCTTGGAATTACAGTTTAATAGTACTTGTTAAAAGTACCATCTTGTCAGCGATTCAGGCTGTCAATTTTGACTTATTCTAATAAGCATATGACTAAAATCCAAAATTATTTCTTCTCTCAATTATTCACATCAGCACTTGGTCCTCAGTTGTCACGAGTTTGGCCAATAGCAGTATTGCAGTATGAAACAATTTTTTTTAAAGGCAGAATGGTCTAAATGGCACTTATACTTGTGCCACTTTGTCATGCCGGTCCCCAAACTTATCATTTTGCCAATTGAACACTTACACTCGTTCGAAACTAATTTTCTAAATCCTTCTGACCATTGACCGAGCTTATGTGACATTGACATAGATGAGGTGGACAAATATGTGTAATACACGCGTGTAAAGAGAGTGATAGTAGTGATTTTGATTAAAAATGACTTAAACTAAAATAAAAAAAAGAAGAAGTAAAGTTAATAAGTTAATCGAAGTTACCACCCCCCTCCCTCCCGATTTTCTTCTCTTTCTCAGTTTCTCCCACCTTTCTTCTCGCCCCTAATCCCTCTTTTCCCCTCCACACTACTGTAAACAATGGATGAGCCTTTAAAATCACAAAATCAGGCAGAAATATACTATTTTTCTCTATTTCTTTAACAAGAGAATCTTTTACATTACTTATTTCTTTTTTTGTTTAATCAAAGACCAACTGAGTAGGGTTCCGGCGAGTTCCGTTCCTCCTACTACGTTGCTCCAATGTCCTAGCCGTGGTAGTAGCGTCACAGATTCCACGACTCTTTAGGTTAACGAACGGATCTATTTTGGTTATTGTTGCTGTGCTTCGCTACTTGGAACTGGTCACGCCGGAATAATTTGTCTTGCGGCCGTTACTGATGGTATTTGTATACTTTTCGGCGAAACTCATATCCTCGGGCGAACATCCTCTTGGCTCTGTCTCGTTACTGTTTTTTCATTGCACTTGTTTTGGTTAGGTTGGCTAAAATAACTTGGTGAATCAAGGTTACAATTCGCCGCTAATGAGTCTTTGGGCGTTCACTACCCCAACGGCTTCTGATTTTTGGCTTAGTGTTCTTGCATATCTGGAGTTTTACCTTTTGTTGAAGATTTGCAGCACTTGTATGCGCTTGTGGGCTTCGGTGTTAGTGCCTCCCTTAGGAAATCTTCTGTTGCTGGATGGGATTTTGAAACGATGATCTTTGCTGGTGGTTAGGAATGGTTCACGGTGGTCAGATAAAGAAAGAGGTTGTAATGGTGGCTATGAGGTTGTTTATTGAGGCATTTTGGATTTTTTTTCAACTTTTTTTAAAATATACCTTTTGAGGAAATAAACAATGCCGTGGAATAATCCATAAGGTGTAAAATAAAAGAAAATATTAGGTTTGGGTGGCCAGTCCTATTTTTCAATAGTTTATTTTTCTATGTGGCACTAGTAATGACGTGGCGTCCTACGTGTAAGAGATTGTATTACACGCACTGGTAGCCTCCTATGATAAGTGTTTATTATACATGATTTGAACGAGTGTAAGTGTTCAATTGGCAAAATGATAAGTTTGGGGACCGGCATGACAAAGTGGCACAAATACAAGTGCCATTTAGGCTATTCTGCCTTTTTTAAACTATAACTTTTACAAACATTTTTTGACGTTATTAGCTACAAATATTTGTATATTTATAGTATAGTTTTTATGAAGTCTCAAAAATGTAAAACTTAGTTATAAAATTAAGAAACGATATTCAGAATTACATATAGAATACAGATGCATTCACTCTGGTCGCTTGAATGCTAACATTCTTTTTAAGACGACTAAGAAAAATAGCATTTGAATCAAAGTACAACAATAACGACCTAATAGAATCCCACTAGTAGTGTCTGCGAAGGGTAGAATGTATG